TGCTTCATCCTCATTCTTCTGAATTGCAGTAATTCAAAGGCAAAAAACCGAATAAATCTCTCTCTATAAAGCCACTGTCATCTGACCACGATCTAGAGCTGCCCAGCATCTCTAAGAAGTTCTCTACCGAGAGCTACCTAGCATACTATTGCGGTTTTCATGATTCTTCATGATTGGCTAGACGAGAAGAGGATTCGGAACATGAGTCGTTAAGTGTGATCCGTCATAAAAAACTATGATTTGTATTTCACAGTATGTTACAACAGACTTCATCTGAGGGCTTACATTGTGTCAGCTGGCTTTACGCACTTTTGAAGATGTTCTAAAGTCTTTCCCTCTTTTCTGTCTCGTTCTCTTCTTTGTTGCAGAGAGCTCAAGGAAATCAGCTCGTGTGAAAGGTGTTACCAACTTTTCGTTGGATTCTCATCTCTCAGGCCCTATCATCATTTAACTTTCCAGGTATGAAGCAGTGAATCATAAAATAAGATTCTTAGGCGTCTAAGAGACTCAAGATCTGATAACGCGTGAAAACCTTATGGTGCCAAATGAGAGCTGGTGTTCTATATATGTACTTTACTGCAATCGTTGATCTTTTCCTTCCATTTTAATTGAAATGTCTCGGATTGATATGACAAGCAAAAATAAACCAGCATTGTGGCAACAGGAGACAAATTCAGAAGTCTCATCACTATTGCGAGAACTGTGTCTTCTAGAATAGGTTCAGATGTTTTCGTTTATTTAAGTTGCTCACAATATTTCAGAGCAGAAGGAGGTCTGTTCGCTGAGAGAATTTTTGATTGTGAATCTGTTGTTCAGTGAAAGATGATATGTCGTGATGTTGTTTGTACATGTTTTGATGATCTGGTTGGATTTACTGACACACTCGAATATCATCGAACATATGTTTTCTTGTGGAGTAAAATCTTTTTCAGTAGTAGGCGGAAAATCTTAAAAGTTTTGAAAATAGATCTTTTTGCCGTTCAGGAGTATTGTTGTGAACATAATTTCTGCATTTTTGACAGTTCTGCATATTCATTCAATGTCTATTCATCTCTCTAATCATTTCTGTTACGTTTGTTGTGTGCTAGAGTTTATAATGGTTAGTTATGCACAAGTTCTTTCAATAGTCATTGTACCTGACACTGTCGTACATACACTGTTTATATATTAGATTGTTTATACATGTTAATGTTTTAGAAATGATTGGTCATTTACTTGGACCGATCAAGTGACAGTCACTATAATGTGAATGTGAGGGCAAGTTTAAACTTCCTCATCTTCGATTTGTTAGAAAAGATGTTCTTCTGTTAATGAGGTTTGCTGCAGTGCGTGACATCAGGTTCTGTTGTTGTGTGAAAGCTTCTAATACACAATGTTTAATAGTTTGATAATGCAATGTCTGCAGGTTGTAATATGTCGATGAATTCATTCGCTTTTGACCAATCTGCTACTGTGGAACCAGATACAGTGAACATTATTCTAGATTCACAACCATCCTCAGTACAGAGCACACAAACACCACACCCAACCTCAGTACAGAAAACTCAAATACCACGCGGATGGATAAAATCGGATGAAGTTATAAATCCATGATGGCATTGCTTTTATCGATATTGTGAGAAAGGGAGTGGGAATCGGTATTGTGCTAAGTGCACACATTGTGGAGAAGAGCTTGACGGAAAACCCGATAAATTAGAATTTCATATATTACATCGTTGCTCATTGGATTCCGTGAGTAGAGTTGAATACATGCGTATTGTAGAGCGCTTCTCAAAGAGAAAACGTATGGCAGTAAACACATCAATTAGATCCCAGTTAGGATTTGAGTCGGAGCAAATGGCTTCTTCAGGTCATTACCAACAACATCTACCCAAATACTTTAGTCCAACAATGAATTTAGACATATTAGAAGCTCCTCATTTAAGGTTTGTAGATTTTCTAGTAACCTCCAACAGTTCTTTCAATATATGTTGTAACAAAGAGTTGGGGATATTTATGCGTGACATCAACCCCAGCTACACTCTTCCTTCTAGAAGAGTAGTCTCATATAGGTTGTTGCAAAAGCGGTACAGTGAGTGTCTATTGGAGCTGGGAGAAGAGTTGAAAAGTGCCATTGATGTGACAATAACTATGGATGGATGGGAAGATGTGTCTAATAATTCGATTTATGCTGTGATGGCTATCACAAGTGTAAAACAGTGGATGGTAGATATTGTACACTTCACAGGACGACCAACAGCAAATGCATTGCAGCAACAACTAATACTGTCAACCAATAAAAGTATTCTTCCATTGACATCAGTTGTTGCCTTTGTGTTAGATAGTTCAACCAGTATGATAAGATTAAGAAATAATCTGGCAAGCTCAAATCCGAATATTGTACCCTTGAGATGTACACTTCATCAACTGAACCTTATCACAAAAGACGTGTCATCTCATGATACTACGTCATGAAATACGTTTTCAAAAAAAACTGCAAGTTGATTAACTTTTTTACAAGTTCCCACTACTGGTCTTTACATCTCAAAACATGGGGAGGAGAAAATAATATTAGAAAATTCCTATCTAGTTTTTGCGAAACACGGTGATATTCGACTGTACTTGTATGTCTTGATGTTGCATCCTATCATAAAGGATTTCAACATTGTGTCAAAAAATCAAAGCTACCTAATGAACCTCCCATCAACAAGGATATTTTCAAATTGGTGGAGGATGATTATCATTTTGCAATGAACAAAGAACTTTGCAAACTTATTAAGCCCATAGCTGATAGTATAGCTCGTATGGAGCAGAGTTCAACCACATTAGATCAGATTTTTGCAGAACTTATCAAATTATACACAGTCGTAAAAGATACTGATGTTACCGAGTTCTGCAGCCTATTCAAAGCGCACATGATCAAGATTATTCAAAAAAGAGCTTCTGAATTTGATCATCCGATCTATTTTGTAGCTCTTTTCTTGAATCCTCAATATCAATCGGTCGCCATCTCCAGAACGAAGACATACAACAACATTCAAAATGATATTGCAAATTTTGCAAAAGGATGGAGATTCACCAAGGCGAACACAATATCTCTTCTGGCGGATTTGAACGAGTACACTAATCGGAGTGAAGTTTTCACAAACAGTCAACCCAAAGACTGTGCAATCAATTTTTGGCAATCACTTGTTGGTGCAAATGCTTTGCGTGTCTTTGCTTTGAAAATTTTTTCCATTGCTCCTCATAATGCGGCAGTAGAACATTGTTTTCACAACTCTCATTATCAAAGACAAAAATTCGCAATCGCATGTCAGTCGAATGCATGAAGATGCTTGCCATTGTTAGATCAAGTCTTAACTTACATTCAAAACCGAATTCAAGATCGTCTTCATCGCTATCCCTAGAGCAAGAAAGTTCATTTAATATAGCACTTGAAGAAGAAGAAGATCTTAATATGATACCGGCTATAGAATTGAGTTTGGAAGATCTAGATTTTACTTGCGAGGATAATGATGATTTTCATGAAGATTTTGATTCATATTTTGATTTTGCTAGATTTAGACAAGAATCATTTCCATATGTGAATGAAACAACAATGCAAACTCAGACAGGAGTGATAGATGAAGCAGATTGGAATGTAGACGATTGTATTAGTTTGAGAAATGTAACAGTATCATTTTATATAAAGTCAAGTTTTTTTTTAAAAAGTCCAAAGTACATGTATGTATAATTTTTTGTATATACATACGGGCATGCCCAGGGGCATGGGGCATGCCTTCCAAGGTTAAAAGTCACAAGGGGTCATGCCTTCGGAAAAATATGCGTGCCTCCAACACTAGTCGTGTGGTTTGGCCCTTAGTCTCAAGGTGTAAGTTACAAGTGGCATGGCAGGTTCAGGAAAGGCCAAATACAATGCATTCCATGCCTTGCCAGTTGGGAATGAAATCCTCGATCCTGAGAAGTACCAAGCATCGAGTTAGAGTAGGTCTGAGCTCGTAGCCCTCGTGGCCACAGAAGCACGAGGCTCTCGTGAAAACTTCTTCTGATCATGAACGTTGAGTTCTATCCATCTCCGATTCCGACCGGGATGGTGTATATAATGTACCCCAAATTCGGTGTCCCCATCAGTATCTTTCGATGTACATGACCGTTGCCGAGTGAGCGATTTCGTTCTGCGTGTCGATCTCAAAGAGTCATAACATATCTCGTTCACCAGTTTCATCCAGCTCGTCAATCGACCGCCTTCGCAGCAAGCGACCATGGTGACCAAACGCACAGCATACGCCTCCGTCCGCAACAACACCTCCGGCCCCATCGTGGGCGTCTCAGTCGTCCACAAGTACAGCGACAACTACATTAAACATTCGCTTAAGTCCGCAACTTGATCCGGGAGGTCTGGTGCGGACTTAACTGAGATGCGGACTTAACTCCTCTCAACCTCCGTAAGTCAGTTCGTTTCTCTCTTCCTCCCATCCTGCCTTCGGTTTCCATCTCCCATGCAGGAAGCTCAAGCCGAATTTGAAGAAGCGTAATCAACCCCGCTTGTTCAGGGTTCGCGTCTGCTCGTTTATCCTCCCTTTCTCCCTCCTCCCTGCCTCCCTCTTCCTCCTCCTTGCGTGGCTTCCACTCTGCTGCGAGCAGGGTTTGAGATCGTCTCCCAATGAGGAGGTAGAGGGCGCCTTTAGGCACTTGCTTCGGCGATAGGCAGTTGGTTTTCTAGGTGACAACCGTCAACACCAGCTTCTATTTTGCTCAAGGAGATTTAAAGCATTTGCATCTATTTTGCTCAAGGAGTCTTTTGTAAAATACATTCTTGAGAATTGATCCAAGAATTTTGCTTTGTGAAATGCGGACTTAATCGAATGTCTACTGTACAAGAACCAGCATCAGTGGGGCATCATCCAACCCGGGGAGATTCCCTCGGACAACCTGCAGGTCGAATACAACACTGGTGCCTTCACCACGGGCCGCGACTGGTGGCTCGTCACCTGGTACAGCGCGACCATGAAGACGCTCCACTACTCCAACCCCAACAACTTTCGCGACATCCTCGACAAACTCGAGAGCATTGCGCCGGAGGCCATCGCAGCTGCGGCGGCGGCCCTTGCGACACTGCCGTCGAGCCTGACGGGTCCGGGCGCTGTTGCTGCGGCGGTTGCAGCGGCAGGTGCGGCCAAGATTACGACTTTTGCGCTCTTCAACTCGGAGGTCACGGTTGGGTTCAAGCAGCATATTCTGCGCGAGGAAGATGCGGGTGCGGTCACTGAGATTATCATCAATAATGATCGCACGATCACTTTCAAGTCGAAGTCCGGCAATTCCAACACCGTTGTTGCCTCAAAGCCAGCTCCCGGCACGTAAGCGCGCTCGGAAGAGCCTACGGGACTCATGGACCTTGTCCGGAGAGGAGATCGGAGGACACTGACCTCCGAGATGAGATGATAGTGATACTGACCTGTACTGATGTAACAAGTGTTTGTAATCATGGAGATTGTCCGGAGAGGAGATCGGAGGCCACTGACCTCCGAGATGAGGTGATAGAGATACTGACCTGTACTGATGTAACAAGTGTTTGTGGCCAGTGTAATGAAATCACGTTGAGTGGCAATCCTGTGTATGTACACTGAAGGTTCGATACTATCTGTTTCTATCCGAGTTTGTAATTCCAAGCTGTTTCTCCCTGCTTGCACGACGGCTGCACTTTTACTTTCCATGAACGTGAAGTCGAAGCGACGTCGCCATGCCTGCTGAGAGAAAATTGGGCTCCTAGTATGCGAAGATTCCAAGCACACGAGCAGCAGTTTGTGCATCATTTGCAAAGAACATAATGAAATTAAATGGATCTGATATATTGTATATATAAATGTATATTAACTAATATTGTTAAATAAAATTGTAATTAATAAAATTGATAATATCTTAATGATATCACGATAAAATTTTTATCTATGTAATTATTCTTATTTATAAACTTCATGTCATCGTGAGTTTATACCATTATTCATTGTGAACATTACTATAGTTTGTAATGTGGGCACACGTGGATGTAGCAAGTGTTTCCATCCATCCATGAATGTCATGTTGCACCTATATTGACAATTAAGATATGAAGTTCGAATAAACACATGAATACGTCAACCCAGAAAAAGTATAAAGTAATTGCATAGCACATGATAATGCAAGAAAAATTTTCCATGGCTATGATATGTTAAGTGCATATTGTTGGATCACGTATTATGTAGCGCCCAAGTCACGAAAGAATGTAGTTTCATGCACTAGTCTTCATGATAACATTTTACAATATTTACAGTTTAGTTGATGTCGTCTAACTCATCCATTGATGGGATCGATTATTTCCGCAAAAAAAATGATCTAATACTTTACAGTTGTAATTCCCAAAAAAACATAGAATTAAATCAAAGCAAAGTGATTTTTCATATTAAAAAATTGATTGCAAGATACATATTTTGTCTAAAACTAAAAGTACAGAGAGTTGGTATACACATAAATTACTAATTTAAAATTTTTGGTTAATGATTAATTCCCGAAGATGATATTCAAGTAAAAAAATATCGTATTGTTTATATTGCTTGTTGTGATTCCCCACAATCATATTTGTGAAATGAAAAATGTATTCTTTTTTTAAAAAAATTATTTATAATAATTTGTAATAATTTGAAAATTGATCATGTACCCCTTGAAACAAAATTTAAATCTTAATTTAGATTTACAAGTGATATAAAGTACTTTCTAAAAAACTACGCATATTTGGTTGAAAATTGAAGTTATTTAGTCTGTTTTATGAACTATGAAGTGATTCACTTAGTATTTAGATAGTCATACGCAAGGACAAATATAGCCACTTTGTGTTTGTAATTTTCGGATCAAAAGTAGCTTCGATCAATTATTTGTAGGATGTTCAAGTCGTGAATGAAATTAAGTACAAGTTGAAAGAATTAAATTATATTCACTTCTAAGTCTGAGTTGATCGATTTCACATTTTAGTTTTACTCTTGGTTATAATGATCAAACTTTCAAGAATGGAAGTGCTGCTAGAAGTTGGCATTTTTTGAATCAAGGCTTTTTAAGTAGGTCTTGTGAGGCTTGATTCTTTGAAATTGAACCGTAGAGATTGTGGCTATGGCTAGAGTAGCTAGTAAAGAAAATAATACTTGATGCACAAGTGGATTAGACTCAGACTGTATTTTTTTTCAAATTTTTTAATTTTAATATTAACATTATTATTATGATATAAATGTGATGAGTGTGTATTGGTGAAACGTATTGACAGTGTAGATTTCTACTTGTACTTTGATGTTTGGACTCTACTTTTTCTCTCCAAGTACATGAACATTGAATTACATTCTCATCTCTCTAGTAGTTCATCTAAGAACCATAGATTTAATGCTTCATCCGAATAACATGAAAACTTTCCCTCGTCGACCAGCCTCTCCTTCCTCTGGATCTAATTCCACGGAAGTTACTCTCTTCTCATATCCAATTCCACGGACGCTCATCTAGACTCAATAGGATTTGCTGCACTACGAGTCAAGGCACATGTTTGTGCTGGTGTACACATATACTCCACAATATCTACGTCATATTATGTAGAAGCACCAGGTCCGGAATACAACATTTGTTGAGCTATAGCCATACATCTTATGTTCTGTTCCAACCACTCTGATCAAGCTCTTCGTCTCACATCAAAGTAGAGTTTGTGTACATATATCCTATACGTGTGTCCAGCATTATCACATACATAATCACATGGTCTATGTTTTCATCTACATCCGAAACTACCATGACAGACTCCAGTAATCACGATGTGTCTAAGGTGGAAGGGGTGGGAGTAGATGACCAACCTCTCCTCAGGTGTAATAGGACCTAGGGTAGCAAAACTTATCTTCTTGCTCATGGTTTCGACTTGCAAACCTTTGCATCAATGAAGACTTCCTCTAAACTTTCAGGACCCTCTTGACTGCGTACTGTACTAATCTTAGATGGTACACGAAAAAGGTTCACCGTAGGTAACCTTCTCTGAATTGGGGAGGAAAGATTTATATAGAGAGCATGATGGAATGATCTCTTACATGCAGACAATCTCCCAAAGTCTCTTTACGCTGTCCAAAGTGTCATAACATCTTATCCACTTGTGCTGCACAATGTCATCAAATCTCACACAGCGGCCTTAGCCCGGCCTTAGCCCCTTGGCAAAGCCAGATGACATCCAATGGAACTCTACTAGACCCATGAAAACTTCGTTAAGGATCACTTGTTTTCAGAAAGTGAAAAGTACTGTTGAAAGTACTTTCCGACTCGCACTGAATAACCACTCGATTAAGTTCAAGTCCATGCACCAACGAACTACTCAAGGAACGTTGAGAATGTACACTTCTGACCATGAGTGAAATAAGAAAAATTTGCTTGATGGTACCCCATTGCTTGATGCGATACATCAAGTTTGAATTTTACATATGGTATATCGTCACTGATTTTTAATAGATGTTATAGTATTGGTATTTTATCATCGCCAAATAAATGACACACCTGAAATTGTAACACTCTTTTAAAAATCTCATGGATCATTCAAATATATTCTCGTGACATTCACGCTTCGAGATCTCAAGTACAATAGAGTCGGGTGCCCGAAGCTAAACTCTTCAGAAAAGAGCGCTCGATCACCGCGATCTAGCAAGCATAAAAACTGAACCTTCTTTAACCTGACGTCAGCAACAGGCCGAGCTACTTTTTCATCTTCTCCACCTTACCTTACCATTCTTCCCAAGAAAGTGGTTCAGCAGGGCCAGACTCTACTCATGGATGCGATACGCATGGCGAAACGAAGTATTATGTGCCGAAGGTAACACAAAGTGTGACTCACGCACCCTCATCTGTTCATACTAGAACAGTGTGACGTGGACCGTCGGTGGGGTCCCATCGGGTAAATTGAAACTTGATGGGTCACATCAAGCAATTTAAGTTTGGATGGGATACCATCAAGGAAATATCTCGATGAAATAAGAAAGAAGAATTTTGATGATCCACATTGGTCAACATATTCCGGAAACACGAGGTAAAATACTATCTCTACTTTCCTCGGGTGTAACATCGCCAAAACACAAGGTACCCCAAAATGGTAGAGAATACTGGTACCAAAGTGTGCGACCCAACGTTTTCGAAAATAAGGGCATACCTGAACCAGCTCTGCTCGAAAGGTTCTTGGTTAGTTAATCAATCAACGAGATGATATCAGAATGTTAAACATGACATGACCCTATTCCTCCTACAGCCACGCTTTAGTTCGCGGTTTTGTGTCTCCTGTCTAAGTTTCCTATGCACGAACTGATCCACCCGGAGGGAGAAGTGGCAGAGGAATACATCTCAGATCCGAAAGTCACTGTGGTAGAGCCCAGCGTGCGCCATTTTGGCGTAACAAATGCCTTAAGGAAAGCAAGGATCACAACAGCAATAAAAACTCGCCCAACAAGCAGGGCACATTCATCAGAGCACAGGTTTTGGTAAGTGGAACCGTGGGTGAAATTATCTTTATCCGGTGTGTTGAAACCAACTTGCTTTTACAGAAAAGCAACTCAAAGGTTCATCCCTCCCCTTTCGCGACAAACTGACAAATCGAACGGAACGTAGTGAGAATTTGAAAAGCTTTTCTTCGTACCGGTGGTTTCATTCTTGTCGTTGTTGGCATGAACGAAAAGCTTGCGACTCTTTTTGGTCAAGAGCATGGACATGGAAAAGAAAAGCTCTGAGTTGAAGGCCAGGGAAATAATATAATATATGGTTTGTACATCGTTCGGCCCGAGGGGAAGCTGCAGCGGAAGGAACACAAATCCCTATTAGCGCCAGGCGGGGCCGCGGGTCGCTGGGCCTGGTGGCCGATGCGGCGGTCGCGGGCTTATCTTCGACTTGCCTGAGCAGAGCTGTCTCGATCCAGACCATTTATTGTGTATCTGACATTTATTTCGACCATCTCCTCGTCCGAGAATCCATCGTCTTCTGGCCAGGCCCAAAGGAGGACGAGAGGAAGCAGAGCAAGAAGCGACGGCAAACATTCGCTCCCCCTACGTGAGGGACGATTCGCCCTGCATGCCATGCAGAGTTCCGGATATGGAGTCCATTTCTCCGGGCCTGCTGTGGTTCGGAGGTAAATTCTCAGCCTCGTCACGCGGTGGTCTCTTCTCGTCCCTGTTCAAGGCGGTAGCCATCAATCTTTGGGGGTGCTTTTTCATGTTTAGTGAATGTAAAGCTCTCTTTATCGCCTCATTATCAAGTTCCGGCTTCTGTCTTTACTATCTAGACTCTTCATCGCTACGAGCGTCTGTGGGAGTGCAGTTATGAATAAATTACATTGCGCTCTGATGTTATTTCACGAAATTGAAGGAATGTGGCTATGCCTTGGATGCCTATATATCTTGCATTTGGAGGTGTATGAAGCCATTTATTTTCGGTAAAAAATTAGTGATTGCAGTGATTTGATGGGATTGGTGACATCTTTCACAAAAGCTCGACATGTTGAGAAAACATACGAAAGAATCTCATTGTGCTCCAATTTCCGTCTTGTTTTCCTTTGGCCAATCGAATCATTGACGCTTGTGACAAATACATTCTTCAGAACGGGACTTCAATCCATTTTATGGCGCCTATGAGCACCATCGAAGGCCAGCGAAGTGAAAGAAGCTTCAACCAAAAGCTCCAATCTCTCGGAGAAGCGAAATCTTTGGTATCAAGCTCTAGTAATATTGCATCACATGAACCAAACTTAGAGACCAAATTTTCACCCAATAAATAAAGAGTGCCTTTTGAATTCTTTCACCCATCCCTTACAATTGGAGAACCCTCGTCCTTCCGGCTCTCCTCAATGTACATCTCGTATCACTCTGCGGGGGAATATTAATTTCATGAGTTTCAATAATCAAAGGTCTCCTGAATATAACCAAGCGTGAAGAATAAGAATTTCTGGATGAATTCGGATTACTACTAGGGAAGAGTACGTGGTGGAAGCTTTTGGTGCTAGGCGCGAATTCGTTGGCCAGTACTCACAGGGGGTCCAGAAACATCTCGATTCCTGCATCGACTGATCGTTCGTTGCTTCTGGAGCGGTCAGCTCCGCCGCAATACGTTGCGCGGCATATCACCACTTGTGCAAAACTGATGGTTCCAGCGATTTGGGAGAGCCAAAAAGTGCACGTCACATCCCCTTTTAGAACTTACTCGACTGCCCTCGAAGTTACTGGCCCGGCTATGAAATCGGTGCATTTGCATAAAAAGCAAACTAACAGAATGGATGGACGAAACCATCAAGTACAGTAACTATTTGACCCCCAAGCTGGAACATGGTGCTAGGCTCCGATATCACAACAGGAAATATGTACATATCAATAGATAAACTACAACTATGCAAGGGCATGAACAACATAAATATTTGAAGGAAACATTATGTAACATGACTCTTCTTTTATAGATAGCACTCGTTATAGTTGTTCCTGTAGCAATGGGCACAAGTAACTCACCTTTTTGTAATCTAAAGATGTTGATATCGCTACTTATCGTCACGGAAGTTTAATGCACACTCTTTCATGAAATTATAGTTATTTTAGAGCTTCATTGCGCATTCAAATTTTTGTAAAAAAAATGTGAATAACTGAAAAAAAATATGTGAATAGTTTTTTCAAAGTAATGAAGATTTTCAAAGTTATATAGATATTTTCAAAATGATAGCTCATGAAGTTCTAATTTGATCATTTTCATATTTATATATAAAAAATTTCATTGATATGTATGATCACAATATCAAAGTTTTTATCAATATGAAATGTTTATCATTGATGTGAAAATTTCACTTTGATGTGTACAAATGATGTTGAGATAGAAGTGATTAAGCAATATGGAATATTCATGATAATGATTATAACATTTCACTGATGTGACAATTTTAAATACATGAGTACAAAGTCATTTTGAAATGTAAAGTATAAATTTTTTTTCTGATACAATGCATTTTTCTACTTAAAAAAGCTTTCTTTAATCTAGATACAAGATAAGAACATGATCTTCCTTCTTAGAACTTCAAGAAATAATTATTTGAAGTCATTAGGGTGATATGTACCTTATGAAAAAGGGATTATGCTTATATACATTCTCTATTAGACCTTTAAGTAAAGGTGTGCAAATGAAGTAAGGGGGATAACATCTAGAAAGATATACCGATTCCTTTAGTTGATGCTCTAAGAATTCTAATTGTTTCTCCTTGCCATCTTTGAATATAAAGAGATATAAGGGGAAATAATTTTACTTAATAAAATCAGTGCTAGATTAAGGATGAACCTCATGTAGTGTCATGCCCGAAATCTCAAACGTAATGTCAATGAAGCAAACATTAGTGTCGTGTAAATGATCCTAAATTCATGTGCGAGTTGTGCAATACTACTCTTACAATGTAGCCAAACCCCATGCTCACAATCTCCTAAATCTAGGTTAGACCTCCCAATGTGCCTAACACCCACACAATCATATAAATATCGCACCAAAATAGAAGAATTAAACAAAACCTTATGCAGATAAGAAGTCGACAATATTACATGCCAACCAATCCACATCGAAGTGAAAAACATGAAAAACATTCTTCCACACGAAGTTCACCAAGAGCCGAGGGATAAAAGTGACCACAATGACCCAGTGTCAAAACCACCAGAAAACGACGGACTAAATTGCACAATGTCGGTAAAAAAGATTGGAGGGGTAAAAGAGAATGACAGCGCTCAAGAAGGAAGGAATCGGATATTCCTCCGCGAAGATGCAAAGCGCGAAGAGAGAATTGTGAGGATCTTGTCAGCGCCGGGGGAAACGAGTGACTGTTGGGCGACAGAGGCCACTGTTCTGGCTAATCATCAGGAGGACAGCTCCGCCCGGGGGCACGATGGGCCAGATTGGGTCGGCCTGTAGCCTCTGAGTCTGTTGTGCTCGTTGTCGTTGGGCTCGAGCAGCAGCAGCAGAACTGTTCGGCCCATGAGATGCAGGAGAGAAGAGCACTCGCAGGGCTCGCTTTTTAATTGTACCTTGGTGCATTCAGCAACTTCATCCCATTCGCTCGAGCTCGGTCTGCTTGTCAAGGTGATTTCTGCATTCTTCTCATGGTTCGAATTTCTAGAGACCAGTGAATGGAGGTCTGTCTGTGTCTATCACGATGCTGGATCGTCGTTCTCTTGCGTTCATGTCCGGGCTTTTCATCGCAGTGGCCGACGGCACGCAGGACGATGCAGAGTAGGAAAAATTGGGTCGTGGGTTTCGTTCTGTAGGAGCGAAAGACTGGGCCTGGATTTTTTTTTGGTCGATGAAAGGAGATGGTGAAAATCGGTCGCGGTCTTTGGATGACTTCTAACCTCGTTTTTAATTTTTTTAATTTTTTTTTTTATTGCGGGAGACTTCGTATGAGGGTACGAATATATTTCTCATATTATTTGAAACGGGAATCCGTCACAATGGCCGATATGCATCATCTATGCACTGCGAATCTCTCTCTAGTTGGATATATGGCCGCAAGGCATATGCTGACTCGATGAGCCTCAGGCCCTGAACAAGCCAATTTCGAGTCAAGCTCTGTGTTTGTCGTAACGACTGGGGATTGTTGAGCTCGTCGTCATACCTATCATCCGAAATGAACATGTCTTTTGTCCGTCTTTCCACCAGCCATTGGTAATCATAACTTCCTGCGGACCTACGGGTGTCTTTATCGTCGCCTTGGTTTACCAATTTGATCTCAAGAGAGATAGACGATTCGACAAAAGCCCAGCACACCTGGGAGTAGATCTGATGACTTTGAAGGGATGGTGGTAGGGAGGAAGCTCGAGGTTTTTAGCGGAGGGAGCTGTTTGTTGATGTTTGTAATTGTTGCTTGCTTGCAGAAGTGGGTCTTCGACGTGAAGTACAATGAGGGGCTCGGAGATGACTGAGATGGAGGCAGAGAGACCAGTGGATAATACAGGTCTAGAAGCTGGTGAAGTTGTTGTGAAGTGTAAGCCCTTGTGGGACGATGCGAGAACAGGGAGCGCGAAGGATGAGTTGAGGTGTCGGTTCTCCAAGGAATCGAGGAATGTTGATGTTCCTGTTGTTGACGGAGACAATGCTGAAGGGTTTCTGTGTAAATGTAGTGCCGAGGTAAGGCGACGCCCAATCTCATGGCACCGTTGAGTTTGTAGTGAGTTTTATGCTTTACTAGATGGACGCATATGGTTCCCTCTGTTCCCTGACCGTAATTGTTTGCTCCTGCTTTTCGTCAGCTTTCCTCCACTGGTACCACTGTATCCATCCTTCTTCCAAATGGCGATGAGCTCTCGTGTGAAGCCCTACCGGACTCGGACAAGGTCAAGGGCGTGGTTACAGGTAATTTTAGCTTTTGAGGTGACAGTTCGTACGTCAGTCAATCACTTGTGCCCTTCAATATGCTGATCTGTAAATTGTTGCTTTAGTTTCAGTCAGGAATTATTGTCCGCATCTCAATTTTTTACTGTGGAAGTTCTGTTGATTTGAGAGGAAGGCTCTGTTTGTCAATTCGAGGTCAATATTTCTGACGATTATTTGGATGATCTGACGAGGAGTTTTTCTGTTCTTTCCCACCAGCTGGTCAAATCTACAAACAGCTCTCATTACTGGACAGATATCTCTTCGTCTGGATCTTCGCTGTGATGGGTCTAGCTCTCCTGATAGGTTACTACGTAGACGGGATCAAGAAACGCCTGTCGGTGGTGGAAATAGCCTCAGTATCGTTGCCAATTGCTATCGGACTGTGGGTGATGATGTACCCGGTACTCTGCAAGGTACGCTACGAGCTGCTGTACAAGATGCTCAGACGCGGTCGCCTGGGTAAGAACCTGGCCATCAGCCTCGTGCTAAATTGGCTCGTCGGCCCTGCTCTTATGACAGGACTAGCCTGGGCTACTCTACCAGACCTGTCGGATTACAGAACTGGTGTTATTTTGGTGGGAATCGCTCGCTGCATTGCCATGGTACTTATCTGGAACGAGCTGGCCAAAGGAGATGCTCAACTTTGTGCCATCATAGTAGCTGTGAACTCCGTTCTTCAGATTATTCTTTTCACTCCCGTCTCTCTATTCTATCTGAAGGTCATATCCGGAGGTAAGGGAATTGATGTGGGTGTTTGGACCGTGGCCAAATCTGTGCTCTTGTTTCTCGGTGTTCCTCTTCTAGCGGGCTTTTTGACAAGGGTGATTTTGAGAAGAGCAGCGGGAGCCAGATGGTACGATACCAAATTCCTCCCGTTCATCGGGCCTTGGGCTCTTCTGGGATTGCTATACACAATATTCGTCATGTTTGCGATTCAGTCTCATGAAATCGTGAACAACATTGGACACGTGCTTCGTGTGGTGGTGCCCTTGCTGCTTTACTTCTCCATCACTTTCACATCAGCTGTGGCAGTGTGCCGGTACTTCAATTTGCCATACCCTGAGATTGTGACACAATCCTTCACTGCAGCCAGTAACAACTTTGAGCTGGCCATAGCTGTGGCTGTTGGAGCTTTCGGCATCGATTCACATGAAGCGCTGGCCGCCACTATCGGGCCTCTCATCGAGGTTCCCGTTCTATTGATCCTGGTCTACGTTACATTGTATTTCAGGAAATGGCTCTCAAAAGAACAAGCTTAGGATAATAAAATATACTCGTATACTTTCTATTGGAGTCCGTGAGCTTCCTCTTTGGCAGTATCAGAAGGACATTCCAGAGTTGTCGTCACATTTTTGGGGCTTGTCGGTATCTCTGGTCTTCGCGAGAATTGTTGTGTTTATTCACGTCGAGACCTCACACACCTGGAAATCTGAGGAGAGTGGCAATGATTCGTGGGAGTGATCTGTCAATTCCTCGTGTGTTCAGTCTTGGATCTCATGGATCAAGGAGTCTAGTATTTACTTTGTCAACTCATATTTTCCTGTCTGGTAGCGTCTTACATGGCTTCGAAAGCATGACACCGCTGTCAACGAAAATCTTGTCGTAGATGTCGCCTTAGAGAGGAAAAATTGTGGTTATGGGTGCGTAGATTATAATAAAATTCCACTGCACTTGCTTCCGCAGATGTGAAAAGGGAAAGCTCACGTTGAAATGCAAGCAGAAGGTCAGAGATATTGTCTGTAGATATTAACTCTAATTGCAGCTTTGCGAAATGGAGGAAGAATTGAGGAATGTCAATTGTATGAACGACATTCTATTTCGTTCGTGCGATGGAATTCAACTCTCGAAATCTCTCTACCAGAAAGTCATGTCAGTTGTGTCTCGTGGAAGGAGTGTTATCTCATTTTCTCACTTTTGGTTTAGTACTCGGTGCACTGCGTTTCTACATGGAACTCCTAACCAAGGTTTCATTAGCATTTCCCCCAGAGTTATCAGACCTGCTCATATATGTGAAGAACGCATATCAATATGTCTTTTCATGCCCTCTGACAGGCCACACACATCACTCAGGCAATGGTTGCCCGCCAAAGCTCGGTTAGGAATACCCATAAATCAATCGTGGAGTAGCACATCTGATGAAGTACGACAGTTACATGTACCTTCTCTTGGAGACTGAATCGTCCGCCAAGGACGTGAGGTTGACGATCTTCTCGTTCTCGGGGATCACAAGCATGTCTACTGACATTGGTTATAACGGGAGAATTCTCTGTGGAGTGCGAAGAGTCGAAATCACGGGCCAAGCATATGCATGTGACCAAGTTTTGCGAGATATATCTCAAGAGTACATATATAATCAGTTTTCAACTCAAGAGATTGTAAGATGTGAACTAACTTACCCTCGGAATTATCATATGAAGATGTACATGTAGATTCGACTAGTTGTTTGGAGATTGTGCCAGATATATTAGTTAGAGTAGTCCAACAGGTATCCCATCGATGCTACAAGGGCCAAGATCCATGCCACGCATTTCGTTTCATTTTGCTCTATGACGCGGTCCCATTCTTCCAAATACCAAATCAATCTCCTGCACCTCTTGTTAGCATTCCTTCAAGCTAAGCAACGCACACAGTGAAACCAGGGTTTGCGTTATTTCTTCCCAGATCAGAGCTCACCCTTTGAAGGGTTTTTACTTCGTATATTCTCGGATTCAAATACTCTGATCTTTGCCTTGGGTTTAGAGCTACCATCCGTGCACTGGTGGCTGTTTGTAAACTTAGACGGTTGGTCCTCTTGACCTCTGTTTACGACAGAATTTGGTCTAACCCATGAGTTGCAAGAAGAAGAACGTATGGAAGGCTAACCTCGATGACGACAAAATACTCACAGAGCACATCGCTTTTACTAATGTGGATCTCGGAAACAAATCGATGGAGACTGGCCTGACAACTTATCAGGCCAGTCTCCATCGATTTGTTAAGTGACCTGTGAATCACTTATCAGTGATAAGTGATTCACAGGTCAAGGCTGACCTTCGAATCTCTTAGGCCCTTTGAGTAAGAGGCTAATCTTCGGACACATGAGAGCTTGGCCTTTGAAGCAAGTTATCGAAATGCATATGAAGGCCAGCCATGAGCCACGATATGTTTGGATGATGACAGAAGCTCCAGTTCCATGGAGCTCAGCCACACTTGACGACCATGAGCATCATACGGTGCTCTCCGGGTCTAGCTGGTGCGATGATACAGAGGACTCCGTCTCTGGGGGTGCATTTGTTGGCCACGGATCCTGTCTCATAACCTCATCTTCTTTTCGTACTCTCCAGACGGTACGGTAGTATGATGCTGCATAGTGAAGGATTAACCGCCGGGTCTACAAATTCGACACTCGATTCCCTTGAGGGATTCGACGAACTTCAATCGAGATGCTAATTCGACTGGACAAAACAAGCTGGTGGAGCCTCTACTATTCATTTGTCTTCACTGATTCTTGCTAATCTCTGGGTTGACAACGAGCCTCAAGGAGGAAGACTCCAAAATGTGTGCTCTGTCCCAGACCTTTTGTTTGGCAAGCAGTCCGTGGCCAGCAAAGGAATCGACCAGCTTCAAAGCACGGGTGATCCAGATCATACAGTGGAGTAGAACCCTCCTTAAACTACAGCAGGGTCCATGCTGAGATTGGGTGAATATGGTCTGCACAGTCTGCCCTCACACGGTGGACCCTGGGCGGAGCTAATGCATGATCCGTGGCTTTTAGTAGAGCAACTGTGAGATGAAAAGAGAAATCGGAGTCAGTTAACGGCACGTTTACACATATTGTGCAAGAGGCTAGGTGGGCAAGTGGTGGTTCGATGGCTCGTCAAAGCTCGATAATGGACCAGAAGCTCGTTCCACTTCTGTACCTCCAACATTTGTAGAACTTCTCGCTCCCCTAGAGGTGTTCAGGAACTTCTTAAACTTTCCCTGCTGATCGGCATTGGACATCACATTCATACTTACTCTGCGTGATTGGTGTCAAGCGGTTCACATTCGTCCTTGGTCTCACGAACTTGATTGGAGATGGAGGATGATGTTGATGTGGAAATCATCGTAGATGGAGAAGCACTACAATCGTCGACAGAATCATGACTACGTTACTGAGATTATACTAACAGCTGGAGTGTGTTTTGCCTACCTACAGTCCACCGCTGATGTCTGATGTATGCTATGGAATTACAGCAGAATTGGAATTGTCGATCTTTTATTGCTCCTCTACGTTCTGATGCTGAGACACTTCCACATCTTTCGAGTTGAATTCCGAGATTAGTATGTCCTGTTTACACGGACATAATAACTTTTCCAGTAAGTTGCTCTTCACCATCTGTTGCTTCTTCTTCTGGTAACGCAGTCTTGCCTGGTCCTCCATGTCTCCATCATCGAGGTAAGCTTCGTCCACATATCTCATCTGTACAAGTTCTGCAGTTCATGTATGATGTCAGTTCTTGTACAGTCTCCAGTTTTGCCCTGTTGCCACAGACATTAATAAAGCATTAATAAATCACCTGTTATTCACGTCTTGGGGAGCCTTACCCTGTGCATTTCTGATATTTTCTGCTTCTTTCTGATCATTAGGATCTGAGAGAGATCTCTCATTTCATCAGGTCGTTGGATGGGTGAGCGAACTTCACAGCGCTATAATTGCATCGGGACCATGTCTGTGTTTAACCGAGACACAATCTAGAAAATGACAGTAGTAAGCTGCCATCGATCAGGTTAGCACTAACCAGTACAAAGAGAAGATTCATCAGGAGTCTGGACCTTCGACCTTCAGCTCTCTCGGTTGACGTTCTCTGACGTCCGAACTGACTGATGAGGGTTTATCTAACTCACGAACATCACATAAGCTACATGCCTATGTTTCATCAAAACGCACAGTAGATTAGACTTCATAATGAGAGTGTGCACATTGACTAGCTAGAAAAATTACAAACCCTCACAAATTAAAATCATGGGAATATTCTAATTTAGGTATTTTGATGCAACAAAAGTGTGTTTGGTGATGTAATATGAAATGAGTGTGCGCAATTTCCATCATGACTTATGTAGCAACACACCATATCGTCAATGAGTGCAGGTTAGAAAGGTTAGATTGTTATTAGCAATGTTCCCATATTACTTGCAATTAGGAATGAAAGTGCAGTTTAGAGTTTGAATTATGGTTCTTTCGTCTGCAATTATGGAGGTTGATACGTTGAGAATCTGCAACAAGATACATGATATAAATATTTTTGTTAAGATATCCTACATTCGTTTTTTAAAGTCTAATTATTTCAAATTGCAGTGTTTAATCTACTGATATTTATCTCTTATTTTTTGTCTTCTTTCTTGATTCATCTTAGTTCACATCGGACTCCTAATCAATATTTCACCAGAAAGTTAAATTATGTATATATTATGTGAATTTTGTGACTAAAACAAACTGTAGTCATCACATACTTGAGTTTGCAACTTGGAAGAAAAATATAATCTTATAATATGAAATATTTATACAACTTGGAAAATTAAATTATCAAAATTTGTTAGCAAATTTTGTCGCATCAAATTTTGTCATCATCAACTGTCGTGATTTCAACTGTTGTAATTACAAAAGACAATGAAGCTAGCCTTTTACAGTAAGTAATTCTTGCAGGTATTTGTTTTTCGCTATTTCTTGAAGTGATCACCAAATGAAAGTTTAGTGTAATTTTTGTTCATTTTTTCTTTACTCTTAATCTCTTCCAAATTTTGTATTTGACATCGGAGAGCTGATACAGATATTGTGCTTGCCGACTTTGTCCGAAGTATCCGTCGTCCCAATTGTGAAATCACGCTGTTAATTACATGACGAACGAACTCAACCAGTTCCAGAAAGAATCGCAAGCTATCTCGTCCCCTGAAGAGCCGAGCTCTTTCGCGTGGGATTGCGGATCCCATTTTCAAACTTGATGTTCTTCTCTTGTTTGGGCTTCAAGCAATCACGCTTCACAAGCACATTATTCCAGCTTCACTTTGTTGTGTATACATCACATATTTCGCTGAATAAATCAATAATTCTTTCTGCAATTTAACTTGCATTTTAAATGTTTCTGCACTTGCAATATATATATCTCTGCTGTGATGAAACCAGCATAGATCAAAATTACTTTCAGCTCAACATAGTGCTAAATGACAAGTGCGTTGATCCTGCCGATGTGATGAGTTTTGCAAACCAATGTTCAGCGCATCTGGCAATTATTTTCGTCTTCAGCGCTTCCAGTTTCTCAAGAAGATAGAAAGTTCTCTGAAGTAAGAATGTAGATCGAGCACTCGCATGAGAAAATTGCTCGTGTGAATTATAGAGAAAGACATCCCTGTATACCAGATGCAATCAATAGACCGAAGTATGAACTACATTTCTAAAAAAGGGGAAGAGTGGGTTACAAAAGAGAAGCCAAGAAGTGGAGTCATGGTGTGATCATTGTAAAACGGTTTAAATTGTCTTCGTGTGGTGATTAAGTGAGCGATGAGCTTAAGTCTATGGTGTGAAACAATCAAATGCTTTTGACTACATTAGCACCAAATCTTGAGTTACTTAGGAGGATGAAGTAATATAGCAAAAAGTTGTGAAGAATCAACACATGCAGGTGTAGGATGGGGCCAGCCGAAATTGAAGCACGATGCCAAATTCGTCCTCCAGTAAGTAAGATGTCCAAGTCATTAAGAAAGGAGGAGGAGGTGGTGGTGTCTCGTGTACCTGATGATATGTAGACTGTTATCCACCTCAGGTCTCTGTAAGTTGTTGACTGACGGTTAGCTTTTCGCTGTTCTCCTTAATCGACATGTTTCGGTGTAATTGTACAATTCTTCTGTTGTGACAATGGAAGAATTTTCCTCACTGCAATGAGGTGAAGCACTTCGTCGATGAGTTAATGCATAGATTTCTGCTCTGCTGCTGTGTGTGATTTTAGCGGGGCTAGACAAACTCTCGGGCCAAGATGATGAGAACCTGATGCACGAGGCCTCAAACAACCGCCAGGAACCAAGCACAGACATCGTCTCATCTCGATTACTCAGATGTATGGCTGACCTTTCCACCAGTATCGAGAACGAGCAGCTGCGCTGGTCCTGCGTGCACGTCATTCAATGGCGAATGTAGCAGTCAAGATTCGTGAGCTTGCGAGCCTCGTCCTTCGTTAAATATGGAGTGGATTCTCATGCCTTCGTGTTCGTTGAACTGGCCACAACTGATCCTGCTCTGCTGCCGAAGAGGTCGATGGTCGGTCCTTGATTTCAGTCCAACCGAGTTCTAACTGCAAGGCTGCTCTCGCGATTCTGGGCTCCAGCTCACTGCACACCACCAATGCTTTCCTGTCCCCTCGTGCATCTGTCGCAAAAGGCCAATTCCGGTGGTGCCAATCCGGACGCTCGTGTCTCTTGCAGATGACACGATCTCGATGGAGAGAGGCTCGCCGTCGGGTGCTCATGGCACCGATGGTGCGGCCAGGCCGTTAGAGGAACTCGGCGGTGACTAATGTCGCGACATCGCTGCAATCGTTCGGGTTCGACGTAACGCGACCCCGAGGGGTTTCGCTCGGCCGAGCATCGAGCGCTAGGTCAACATTTCGGTCAGATCCTGAAGAACTCGCAATTTCTCGTTCGAGGAAAATTTCGAGAAAGCATCGGGTGGACGATGCGATGCAGATGCATGGTCTCGTGGTTCTCCGACAAGATGAGGGTTTGATCCCGTGATCCAACTGCAACAGAATCGAGCACCTTTGGCAGGAGAAAATGTCCACGCCGACGATGATGAAAGAGAATGCGGACGCTGCGGCGGCAGCGGCCGATCGCATCAAGACTGCGACTCTGAACGCGGCGAAAGGCATGAGTCGCGCGCAGGCGGAGAGAGCTGCGGCGGCGGCAGCGAGAAATGTGAACGCGTACGGGCAGAAGGAAGAGGGCCCGAGTCGATGGCAGGAGCGCAAGGAGGCTAAGCGACAAATGTACCTGATGAGCACCGAGAAGGCGGTGAAGCTCGGCGTGAGAAAGGATCACAAGTCTTTAGGTCACCGAATCGGAGGCGTGATGGATCAGCAATGCCAGAAATGCCTGGAGATCGGGCATTGGACATTCGACTGCAAGAACGAGCGGGTCTACGTGTCTCGACCATCACGGACTCAGCAGCTGAAAAACCCGAAGCTCCGACCTCGACCGACGGTGCTGGGAAATTCTGCTCCGGAGGGAGAGCCCGAAGCAGAAACCATGGACTCCAGAAAGTCTCCTCTGAGGAGATCTGACATGCGGAGTAGGAAGAGGAGAAGATCGAAGAACAATGATTCTCCTGAGAGTAGCGACGACAGCGATGACGATGACGGTGACGGTAACACTCCTCCGTCGTCGTCGGAGGAACCTTCTTCCAGCGAGCCGAGCACATCCGGAACTTTCTCCAGCAGCACACATTCGACACCGTCGCGCACCTCGAGCAGCTCGAAGAAGAGTACCGACAGTTCTGTCAGCATTCCCACTCCCGAGTCGGAGTCCGACGAGCGCCCGGAGCCCAAAAAGCGCAGTAGCGGATCGGAAGAGGAGTACAGAGGTCTGAGCACGGAAGGTGCCCGCAGGAGAGGGCGCATGAAGATCAGACACGCCATGAGAAACCTCAACGCCAAATCCACGAAGAAACAACGAAGAAAACGAAGAAGATTCAGAAAGAAATGAGTGCATGGCCTTCTGCATGGCCTCGAAATCCAAGCTCAGATATGCACTCACTTCTACCATCTCCTCCACGAGATTGCGCAATTTTTCGACATGGACATCAACCGTGTATGAGAATTAATTCGTGTTCCTAACCTGGAGAGAATCTGGAGTGTTCAAAGTCTTTTGAACTCCTCGAAACGATGGTAACTACAATGGAAGACAGTGCCATAAGAAGATCGGCCTCTCTGCCCAGTACACGAGTGTAAGAGACGAGTGGAATGCACTTTGTGCACGGTTGCACGATCAGCGAATGCCTGAGCTTAAAGCAAATATGCAACGGACGTCATCTGAACCTTAACTCTATGCATGATCCATTATATCCTCACATTCCTCTATTTGGAAGGGGAAACCAAGTGAAATAACAAAAAGGTCGAATATTGGTACCTATGACTCTAAACATCTTCTGACTGTCCTCCGAAATTGTTTCTAGGCTTGGCAATCTCAACATACGTCTCTAACTCTTTTTACATAATTTTATTTATTGATCGATGGTGAATCTTTCGGGAGTTTTCAGGTTAAATCTTGACATGTTTCATCTATAATAATCTGGTTATGTTTTGACAAACTGGACTTCAGTAATTTTCTCTGCCGAGATTGGATTTATTAGTTTGCAGCCTGGTACCATTTCTTTTATATGTAAAAAATAAATTCATATAGAAAAAATATTTCATGACCATATATCAAATGAAATATATCATATATGAACATACCCATGAGAGTATGGAGGGCATTTGGAAGATAAGTAATGAAAGTAGTCAGAGGCTTCGGCAATCGGCCCATCGGCAATCCCCAATTTTGTAGGCCACTTCCTTCCAGGAAAAAGCGGAGGATTTCCAGATTATGAAAGGCAATCTGGAAATATTTTTCTTTTTATAGCATATGTGAGGAACAAGAAATACTCCCAGGAATCTTTAGTCCTCCTCACGTATTCAGGTGGGACGGGTATGTAGACAAAATGATACCCATAGAAGAGATAGGCTTTTGTTAGATTTATTATGGAGTACGTAGTAAATTATGCTATGTAAGATTTTCGTCAATTTCATTGCGGCCCATCGGCAATCCCCGATCAAATTTCCGAAGCCTCTGACCTCTCCCGAACAGCTCTAAGCCCGTTCTGGCCGTTCCTGTTTGCACGCTGCGCTGCCGACTCGCAGCGTGCGTAGCAATTTGTAGCTGCGCTGCCGACTCGCAGCTACAAATTGCTACGCCCTCTCTTCGGCGAGAATGTCACAGGACTTGATTGTGGAATGCGTTCAGTTGACGTTTATCGACGTATGCTTCAGGGGCGAACACTTGGTCGACGACGCATGTTTTGCATGACCGAATAATTTGGTCAAGGTTTTTTCTAATGCTGCAGAGTCTAAGAGTTTCTTGTGATTGCGGAGTTGAACGAGACTGAAACCGAATTCATCTAGGTCAATGATCTATTGATTTATGGTATCGCCCGCCTTCCGCTGTCGCAGCTCCTTTGAACGACCCCTTCAAGCTCCTCGAAGTACTTGTAGATCCACAAGTCGGCTACTCTTCAGCTACGTCAGCACCTTCTGTCAAAGCCCATGTAGATCTGATGTCCTTGTATAGACCTGGCCAAGTAATTTCGTCCGGTGATGGAGGGAGCCAACCATCAGGTTTAACTCATATGTCTGGCATGCCAGTGGACTGACAGGCATGATCCCTCACTGTAGTGGGTGGTAGCAGTTTGAGTTCAGGAGTGGCAGTGACAGTGGTCGTAGTAGAAGCAGAAGTGGTTCCAACGCTGGTACCTTATTCTAGACTGTATTCATCAGGCGCGAAGGGATGGATGCGGACGAGTCCTGTTCCTATAGTGAAGAAGACATAGACGGTGCTACTTGGAAGGCGGGCGATACCATAAATCAATAGATCATTTACCTAGATGAATTCGGTTTCGGTCTCGTTCAACTCCGCAATCACAAGAAACTCATAGACTCTGCAGCATGAAGTTTAAGTACAACAGATTGAGAAAAAACCTTGACCAGAACGGGCTTGGAGCTGTTCGGGAGAGGTCAGAGGCTTTTTAAATTGAAGTCCATGCGAGCTGTTGCTGTTCCTGTTGCTGCTGTTGATGACCATCTGGTTGGAATGCTTGTGATTGTTTTGAATCTCATAAATTTTCAGCCTGTGTTTTCTATTAAACAATTTCAACGAACCCTTGATAAGACACAGAGAATAAAGAGTTTTGAGTTTTGTCCGTAGGAACATTTGTATTAATTATGGGCCGAAGTAATAATATTTTCTGGTCTGGACGACTATAGTACAGCTAGTGCGATTACATGCCATGGCTCCGTATCAGATTTTTTTCACACAACACTAAGTTGCTAATTCCCGTTCCCCTATACTATTTCTCGATTTGTGCGGGTCATCCTTGCGGATGACCCGCACAATCTTCTCTGGGGGCCATTCTAATCTTCTCTGTATCGTTCCAATTTTGTACAGTACCTTCGGTAGACAAAGTGGTAGACTGGGAAACTTCTTTCTCGTTCGGGTCATCGCCTGAGCCACGTCTGATCCGGCCTCATCCCGTGAGCTAGATATATCTCCACTTGGTTTTTACTAGTTCAAAAGTATTATCTTCTCTTTGTGATTAAGTTTGTAATATGTTTGATTTTATCATGTGAGAGTTCCTGTTGGTTGCTTTTTATTTATCTGTATTGACATTTTGATTCAATTTATTATCCATTCAATAACTTACATTCTCAATTGTTCTATAATTTCATTCTGTCTAGTATTTCATTGTATATGTGAGCAATATTTCTGTTGAGTGATTGAAACACGATATATTTTTTCTTTCAATGACACTATAGTATTGCATCGAAGAATTAATATAACTTCAATGTTTTATTTTAGAACGATTCAATTCATATAATCTGCCCCAGCTTGTTAGAATGCCCACGTATACACGTACTGCATGCAAACTCTCTTTATCCGACAAATCGAGGAGCGAAACCTGTTGGAGCAGGCCACGCCCTCAGGATTGCATTTGTGCCAATGATATCGATCCCCAGCAAGCCATCTCGGAAACTGCAGAAAGCATCCAGAACTCAAGCGGAGGGCTTGAAAGCAACACCGTAGTGACGTCAAAAGACATCATGAGCGAAACACCTGGTGCAGATGTGGAATGACTGACTGCCCAATCATATCCGCCCCTAGACCCGAAGCGCTACGAGCTAGCCAAGAACTCTGCACCCGACTTCGATAAGGCATCGTGGAAGTCCACAAAGTCCAAGAACTCTGCAACCGACTTCAATAAGGCATCGTGGAAGTCCACAAAGTCCAACACCATACATAGAACTACGTAGTATAAAACACAGAAGTTGATCGATCGACCGACCTGCCTCGGCGAATGCGAGGTCCAGGGAGTTATCATCATGCGAAAGGCCCAGTAGCTCAATGCGAGAGCCTTCAAAGCTATGGATCTGTGCTGCGGGTTCAAGTCCTGCCTAGGCTGCTATATTTTGGGTGACGGTAAGTCAAACATACCCGAGTTTACTGTAGATTCATCAACTGTTTTGTTACAACATGAATATGCTTCTTCTTCTTGAAGTGAGTCATCATGCTGTATCATGCGAGCCGCTCAGTAGCTCAATGCGAGAGCCTTCCAAGCTATGAATCTGTGCTGCGGGTTCAAGTCCTGCCTGGGCTGCAAGTTTTTTCGTGTGTCATCTTAACATACTCGAATGTACAGTGGATTCATGATTGTTTGCAGTCCACTCGTCATGTGAATGGCCCAGTAGCTCAATGCAAGAGCCTTCCAAAAGATGGATCTGTGCTGCGGGTTCAAGTCCTGCCTGGGCTGCCATGCTTTTGGTGCCTGTTTTGGTGGCTGTCATCCAAACATATCCCAGTCTACCGTAGATTCAGCAACTGTTACATTACATGAGTATGCTCCTTCTCCTTGTAGTGAGTAATCATGTCTTATCATGCGAGCGGCACCGTAGCTCAATGCAAGAGCCTTCCAAGCTATGAATCTCTGCTGCGGGTTCAAGTCCTGCCTGGGCTGCTATGCTTTTGGTGCCTATTTTGGTGGTTGTCATCGAAACATACCCGAGTGTTCTGTAGATTCAGCAACTGTTACATGTCTCTTCATGGGAACGGCGCAGTAGCTCAATGCGAGAGCCTTCCAAACTATGGATCTGTGCTGCGGGTTCAAGTCCTGCCTGGGCTGCAAGTTTTTTCGTGTGTCATCTTAACATACTCGAATGTACAGTGGATTCATGATTGTTTGCAGTCCACTCGTCATGTGAATGGCCCAGTAGCTCAATGCAAGAGCCTTCCAAAAGATGGATCTGTGCTGCGGGTTCAAGTCCTGCCTGGGCTGCCATGCTTTTGGTGCCTGTTTTGGTGGCTGTCATCCAAACATATCCCAGTCTACCGTAGATTCAGCAACTGTTACATTACATGAGTATGCTCCTTCTCCTTGTAGTGAGTAATCATGTCTTATCATGCGAGCGGCACCGTAGCTCAATGCAAGAGCCTTCCAAGCTATGAATCTCTGCTGCGGGTTCAAGTCCTGCCTGGGCTGCTATGCTTTTGGTGCCTATTTTGGTGGTTGTCATCGAAACATACCCGAGTGTTCTGTAGATTCAGCAACTGTTACATGTCTCTTCATGGGAACGGCGCAGTAGCTCAATGCGAGAGCCTTCCAAACTATGGATCTGTGCTGCGGGTTTAAGTCCTGCCTGGGCTGTATCAAGTTTTTATGTTTGGCATCTATACATTCTCGAATCTACAGTATATCAGTCAACCTTTGCACTCGACTAGTCCCGGAACACTATTTCTTCTCGTAGCCAGTCAGCAATTTTTCTTCATGTGAATGGCCCAGTCGCTCAATTTTGGAAAATGGGATAATCCTATAGGATCGTATACTACTTCGGAGATTGGGGTCATTATAAGGAAAAAAGCATCAGAAGCTGAAAGAGCAATGAACGTTGTTACTCCATCCAATTCCCTCCACAGCAGTTAATACCACCTTGTCAACTGCCCCAATGGCACATGAAGAACACTGTGACATATCACAGTGTTATGAAAATTCGATAGAGCTTAGGAATGGTTCTGTCAAAGATCCGACCCTAGCATCTTGCAAGTCTCAATACACGGTTCTCCGGAACTCATACACCGTAACAGTTGAAGAATCTACACCCCAATCCGTTATTTTCTAGTCAACAAACCAAAACTTGTGCCTCCTAGGGCAGAACTTGAACTCGCATCACATCTCCATAGCTTGGAAGGCTCTCGCATTGAGATACTAGGCCACTCACATAAATAGTCATGACGACTCACTACATTAAGAAGCATACTCTGGGACTCATAGAATGTAATTAAAGAGGAATCTGCACCACAGTCCTAATGTAATTGTTCAAAAACCTAAT